TGTCTCAGGCAGGGGTTCTTGATGCACACTTTTTCACCTGCCTGACTTCTCTTCACTACAGGTCAGACCCAGATGGATTTGAGGGTGTTTGTCCGCAGGCCATATAAAGCTGGCCCCTACAGCTGGGCCAGGTAACAAACCCATACACCAGCCCCACTGCCCAACCCACATGCAAATGGTGCTGGGAGCACCCATTGCATAAGGGTTTTCAGGAGTGCTGGCTATCCACATCCCTGGCAGAAACCAGCTGGAGGAAGCTTGGAAAGCCTGGCCTTTTTATTCTCCAGGATTAAGACTTTGATTAGCTGCTGGCGCAAGACCAAAACTCCATCTGAAATGCTTTAGACAACCCATCTGCACTGGGTTTGGGAGCCTGAGGAGCACATGCTGTGGCCCGCTCCTCACCCATGCCAGGCAAAAACAATGGGGAAATCAGGGGGTGAGGATCTGAGTGGGAAGGAGCACCCTGGCTCCAGGCTCTCTGTCGGGGCGCTGGGAGCACTCTCACCTCCGCACACACACTCCTCACGCAGACCCTCCAGGCTGCCCCAGGCCTGCATGTCTGCAGCCCATGGGCCTGGCCCAGGGGTCCCTGCCCACCGTGGAGGTTGTAGGCTGTGCCCTGGCATCCCTGTGCCTGGGGGAGCCGGGGCTCTGCTCCTCCTGCACCCGCCGGGGCAGAGCCCACACCCAGCCATGGCTGGGGGCCCTTCACTCCCCTCTCCCTCCCAGACCCTTGTGGTCCTTCATGAGCACCTCATGATAAATTCCATAATTATTCAGCCCTTACTACCAACACTGAAATACATCACTCAGAGCAAGTTAGCTGAGATTCATTAGAATAAAACATCTAGTAGGCACATGTACTTTATTAGCCTCTTACACCAATAGTTTTAATTAGGTACATATTTCACAGCTCTGGAGCTGCTCGAGTGAAGGGCTGCTTTTATCTCTTTTATTTACAGTAACAAGCTATCAAACAAATACCCCCATAATTAAACTCAGATGCAAAAAAAAAAAAAAAAAAAAAGAAAAAAAAAAAAAACAAAAACCCACAAACAAAGAAAAATTTAATTTTTACCAGTGGTGACCTGCTCAAGTCTGGGTTTGGTAAGCTTTGGATTTTTAATTGATGAAGGAAATATTCTGCAGCAGGGCAGGGCGCTGGGGCGGGTGTCCCTAGCCCGGCCCTGCCTCCCTGTCACCTTCAGGTGAGGAGGAGAGCACTGCCTCGGATAGAGACCGCCGGGATGAGAAAAGTGATTAAAATCCAGAACGCTGCTAAATTATTAATGAGGAATTTAAATGATGTTATAAAAGAGGGAAATACAGGCGAAAAATGTTACACATTCATGGAATTTTTACTCATGCATAATAATAAGCTGAAAACACTTTAGTTATAATGCTTCCGAAATTAAAGGGCGGGGGGTGGGGGGCTGGCACGATGCGTTTCTCGGGCCCGCCCGCCCTCCCGCCACTCGGCGATCAAGGGCGCCACCTGGCGGGCGCTGCGGCGAACGGCGCCTGGCGCGGGGCCGCTGCCGGCGGGGCCGGGCGGGAGCCGCCACGGGCCAGGAGGGCCCGCGGGGCTCGGGGGGCTCTGCCTGGGCCCCGGGGCCTTGGGCCGCCGCCACGGGGGCAGCGGACGTGGCTGCGCCAGCCCCACTGACGGGCGTCACTCCCGCGGCCGCACCCTGCGTTATTTGCTTTCTCACCTGCAGCGCAGACAGGTTTTGGCAGATGTTGGCAGAGCCCGCTTGCTTGGCGAGAGCAGCTTAACTGCATGCGTTCAACCGCCTAGTCTGCCTCTAGGGATAGTGCTGCCTATGCTGTAAATAAAATCTATACATATAATGTTGCAGGGGACAGCCATGTGAGAAGAGTCTCTTTCTGCCACCTGCACACATGGAGCCCAGCCTGCTCCTGAGCAGTGGAGCGGCTGCCTGGGGGTCTGTGTGCTCCTGTCCAAAACCCCACCAAGCTGCCTCCTTGGGAGTAACAGCAGCACTTGGGACCCGGAGAATAAACGGTTTCCCCAGGTCAAAGCTGCAAGTGGCATGTACCCCACAGAGCCACATTTTTGTCTAAATGACTACGCAGTCTTTTCTGTAAAAACTTCCCACACTGTCTCTCCAGACTCTATACAGAAGTTCTGTTTGTCTCCTCTAAAGAGTCACACAATACTTGAGGGTCTCATCTTTAAAGACCTATTTAAGGTGTTACACAATCAGGCAGGCATCTGTATTATCTACCACAAGTTCCGCTTATCATTTTCCTCTTCCATGGCAGGGGAAGAAACCTGCAAGCCCATACAACTGGAATACAGCCTTAGCCACGAAATCTCTCAGACTTGCATATCCCTCTGGCTGAATTCCTTGGGGACATCCTGTACTTCCAGGTGCCTTTCAGTCCGACCAAGCTGGTTTTGGTAGCTCTGCAAAGCAGAGAGCCATCAGCTGATTATAGTGGCAGCAAATAAGGCAAGAACAATCCCAGGCCATTCTGGGCTGTAAAGTCTATACAAATGCTGGAAGTCCTGCTGAATGCTAACTGGCAGCTAGCACCAATTACTGAGTAATGGGCTCTCCACATGCCCCTTTACTTAATAAGTAGACACGGTCTGCACTCACTTTTGGAGCTCAGTTGTCTCTGGTTGTAACACCAACTGAATGCTTTGCAGAGGGCCAGTCTCACAGTGACTAAAGCTCAGATCGTTATAGCAAAGTCTCAACGAAAAGAAACTGCCACGCTCTTCCCAATTGGACCGGATGAAATAAAGGCTCTTGGACACAGTTCCTACCTAGGAGCCTGCCAGAGCCTAATAATTGCAACATGCTGTGATTCTAAAACAAATGTGTCATGGAGAGATACCCAGACTAATTCCAAAGGAGGTAAATTTGCCTGGGCGAAACTCTTAGCACAGTGTTATTTCTTCCACGGTTCCAACCGCTTCTGGTCCCTTTCTCTGTGTCACTGCCCAGAGTACATTCACTATTGTGAGCCATGGATGGCAGCCGTGGTCCCTCTGGGCAAAGCAGTGACATTCAGATCAGAAACAAAAATTTGTCCTTTCTTTTCTCCTTTGCTTCCTGTGAAATCTTCACTGACCATATTATCATTATTCCTTTGCCTGGACAACACTACCTAAAATTTTTGCTGAATTTTGGGCACTATGGTTCCTCCACATTTTGTGTGGCAGGAGAACTGATTCTCTGTCTTTAGCTAGATGGAGATGCAAACCAGATTTTGCTGAATGCTCAAGTGCCACATTTTCTCCCTAGATCTTCAAAGGAATATGCCGAAGAGAAGATAACAGAGAAATCCCTGTGAAATCATGGTGTAAAAAGAAGTTAACTGCTAAATAATCCCAAAGCATCTGAGATGGTATCCACAAAGTAAGCAGCATGGACTCCTAGAACACAGTTCCTATACATCCTTACTAAGAATGTCACACCATTACTTTCACAGCTAATGCCACGAAAGTCTGCTGAAATGTTCAAAGGATCTTTAGTAGGTTTATTTTTCTCTTTGGAAAATGAAAGTTATCAATAAAGGCCACATAAAAAGTAAGAAACTTTGACAACCTTGATTCTTTGCAGGCAGCAATTACATGCAAAATGTTGCCCCCAGTTTATATCCTTTATCTGTTTTACATTTTTGACACTGGGAGGAGGGCATTTGTAGTCAAGTAGTTAGCATCAGATTATTGTTTAATGAAACCAGCTGCATGAGTGCAATGCCATCACTGAGGCTTTTTTATGTGTAAGCAAGTTCGTGAATGCACAACCATGGTTTCTGCAGCAGCCATGATTTGCACCCCATGTGTTATGGACTATCTGACAGTATTATAGACAGGGAACCATCTCTCTGTGTGCCAGAAGAGAGAAACCAGTCACTGTACTGAAGGCCAACTGAAGTTTTAGGTGCCTCAAAAGACACATTAGATTCCAACTTTGTGGATTTATTACCACACATTAAACTGATGTGGCCATTTTTATCTGAAATTAGTTTCTTCTTAATTTTTTATATACTTGTACAACAAAGGGAAGTAATGATGACTGTTTCATACACCTTCCCCATCACATATTTTAGTTCTATGCTATGACTTCCTGTTAAATGTAGTTACCAGGATGGAATTTTCTTCAGTTTTAGTTCTAAAGTGCATGTGGGAGGTGGAAAGAGAACCCACTGAGTGCACTAGCTCATTGTGCGAACCAGGCAGTAAATACAGATGTGGAACTCCATATTCATGCCTCAGCATGGGTATCTCTTCAGTGTTGCACCTGCAGGTATTTATATGATCACACTGAAATAAATGCAGCGTGCGTGGGTGTGTAGAGCTGCACCTGTACATATGAGACATTCAAAGAAATACACTAAGTTTTGTTGCAATCCCACTTGACAATGTTCTTGTCCAGTTTGTCCTGCATGTTCTGTAGCCTTATTCCTGCTTCTGAATCTTTCTCTGGTCTGGGCTGGACTGCCCTATGTACCCATCTGCCTCTCTTATTGCAGGGAAAAAACCCTCCTACTTTGCCAGTTCCTCACTGCTTTCATTCAAAAGACCAAATCTTGTGAACCATTTGCCTGCCCAATTTCTGCTGAGCTTGAAGTAGTTGGAACTGAAACTGGGCACAGAAGGCAGTTTCCTCACCCTTTGGGTCTGCTTATTTGCCTGCTTCATAAAGATCATGTGGACTTTCCCTGTAAGGCAGCTATTGACTGGCAAGTCTTGCTCTGGCACAGAAGTATTACACATCCTGGGATTGGTTTTGAGAGCCCTCTTTCAGCCAGTGAAAGGACATAAACCTAAAACCTCATGGGTTTTGTGCAGTGTAGAGCCTAGTATTTAGTATATTAAAAATACTATTACATCAAAGAGCACAAGGAACACAGACATTCTTCTCCCCAATTTTCAGAGGAGGAAACTGAGCCAAGGTATCTGAGTAAATTGCCCAAGAAGCATCAATTAGGCTAAATCTGGGAACATCCCCACTTACCTGGAATCTCAAGCTGTGAAGTAATTTAAAGCTCCTTAAGACTGAACAAGTGCCTGCCAGAATGGTTTGACATTTCATCATCAGTGGTAACTTAGACTACAAGAGAAAACATGAAGAAAATGAAATTACTATTGCTATGCAAAAGTTCTGAAATGACTGGACAGTGACTTAGAAACATTTGGACTTCGTTCTACTCCACCATAAAGAAATGAAGTCTGGGTATCTGTACAGATTTTAAGAAAATGAGAATAATAAGAAATATAAGTTACTCCTTAACACTTCACAGATTCAGCATTCTGTAATGGCTAGTGTAGGAAAAAGTACTGCCTAGTCTCTAGACTGTGAATAAAGGAACAAATTCCACTCTGATTTTTTTCTCATAACTGGCTAAATCAATCAATCAATCAATCAATCAATCAATCATTCCATGCCTTAGTTAACACATTTGTATCACAGATAACATCTCAAAATATTTCCTTTTACCAAAGGAGAGGTCCCCTCTTTGCCCAGTCACGGATTCTGTTTCCTCTTCCCACGAATCCCATGGATGCTTTGGCAAAAAAGAGATTTGTTTCATGACATTTGACCTTGAGATTAGCTCAGTTGGTTAGAGCATGGTGCTAATGACACCAAGGTTGTGGGTTTGATCCCTGTATGAGCCATTCAAAGAGCAGGACTCAAAGATCCTTGTGGGCCCCTTCCAACTCAGAATATTCTGTGATCATCTGTGATTTACTGTGTTTGTTTTGCTGACATCACAGAGTCAATGAGAACAAGTATTTATACTTCTATTATGCCTTCATTGAACTGAACAAGGTGTTCAACAGGACATTTTAATTATAATCCCACTTCTAACAGCATGAGTAAAGGTGTTTAAAAAACACAATCAAGCATGAAATAGAACAGTAAACATGCCATTTCAATTACAAAATTATGTATAAGCACATCCTTGCACAGCAAAACATTTGAAGACTGCAAGAGATGCTGAAATCCTCTCTGAAACCCTGAGAGGTTTTGTGCACAGCGTTGAAGGAGCCAAAATGCTCTTTCCTCACACTCTTTTGTGCACGTATGCTGAATTTTTGACTCCAGAGAGAAACTTATGAAGTCCCAAACTGGCAATTTTTGCACAGATTTCCATGGAGAAAAAGTAGCCTTGAGCATTTTTTTTTTTCATTGCAGTGTAACATCAGATGTTTGTTCTGTTTGCGGAGCTCTTTTTCGCTTCCCAGCCTGACAGTGCTGAAATTGAAAAGCAAATCATAGAATCATAGAATATGCTGAGTTGGAACGGATCCACAAGGATCACTGTGTCCAACTTCTTTCTACACAGGACACCCCAAGAATCACATCATGTGCCTGAGAGCATTTTCCGAACACTTCTTGAACTCAGACAGGCTTGGTTCAATGTCCTGGCAGATCCTTGTATTGTTATCCAGCCCACCTACCTGTACCAGTAAAGTACTCTCCAGCAGGAATGTAACAGCGAAAATACTGTTCTATGTTTATGGACACATATAGATCCACCAGAAACACCTGGACATCTGTGGCCCCTCTGGGCACAGCAGGATAGTGGGCTGCCCTGTAAAGTGCTATAATTCCCCCAGGCTGCCAGGAGGGAGAATTTCATGTCTCACTCAATACTGCTATACTGTGGACTTGACCAAGTCCCTGGTTCAGGGAACTGATGCAATACATTGTTTTACAGTGGACATTCGGGGAACTTCCAAAGCTGCACCCTGGAAAGAGCAGGGTGCCTTCCTGTTGTGAAGACACTCACTCCAGGATCTTTGAGTAAATGATGCCTCAGTTTGGCAAAGTCCACCCTCTCTCTCTCTCCAGTGAATCAACACGCACTGCTTAGAAGAATACAGCCAGGTTGTCACATAAGCCTGACAGTTGTGACAGGCTGATGGAACTCAGGTCTTTACAGCGTTGTAAGCAAAAGGGAACATTGGTGCTTCCAATGGTTAGGGCTGGGGCCAGGACAGGGAGGCCTGTTCTGTCCATGTGGAGGCAAGTATGCAGGGAAAGGGCTGCTGAGGTGGGAAGCTGATGGTCAGGGGCAGATTTGCCAGCTTTCTGCAACTGGATGAGAATGTGGACATCCCTAGGTGGGACTTTCCCCTGTTGTTCAGGCAAACTCCTCTCTCCAAACTAGCAGCACAATGCCCTCCTGCTTCTCCAGCACTCTGGAAGCACAGATGAAGCCACAATCGCTTTGCTGCCCTAAATAGTTGCCCTCTTGGCCAACGTGTAGAGCCAGCTCTGATGGCACCTATCAGAAAGACCTGGGCACAGTGCTGTCCAAACCTGTTCTGCACAACAAAGCACTGTGCACTCCAGGAGCAGTTGGCAATGCGGTGAATATTCATACTGAAGCATGGCCAAACTACCCCAGCCTATCCTCTGCAGTTTCTCCACACAGCCTCAGTGAGAAGAAAATTGGAACAACTTGCCTTTCTGCCATGCAGATTAGTCTTGAACCAATGCTGTATGCATTAAGCTCCTAAAGACATCTGGAAATCATAATGTGAAATCTGGTGCTATCTCATGATCTGGACTATTATCTTTTCCACAAACTGTACTGTTCTGTTTAATAGACTATGTTATTGTCCATGGTATTGAGTTGCCTTCTAGAAAATCTGACCTGGAAATTACTCTGTTATTGTGATTTGAAATTATTAACTTTCTCAAAAATGTTATGGTCATGATGAACCTTAGATGAACCTGTAAATACAGTGGATAATTAGGTAAGGTATATAAGAATCAATATTTAATAATCTGCCAAATATATACGTAAAAGCATTTAATTGACAGGAAACTACAGGGGCATGTGTAGGTATTTAATAGCACAGACAGCATTAGAAGTTTGAGTGCCATCCCGTTTTTGAAATACAATTTGTTATTCTTTCACTAGCCTTTCAGAGCTGAAGGAAGAACTTGGCATATTTTTTCCGTTTCTGGAAGAACCTGTCTTTCTCAAAATGCCAGAGCGCCTCATTAGTGGAAGCCTTGGTGAGCTTGTAGATAGCTGGCAGAGGTGTTTTGTTATGCTTGTTTCCACTTCATTTTTCCCTGCTATTATATGAGTAAGTAGAAGTAAAAGCATAGTTTTCATTGCCTTTAATGAGAGCAGAATCTGCTTTTATTTCATAGCTATTTTCTGTTCTTCTCCTGGCACTCCACAGAAATGCACGTGAGGTGAGATGCAGTGGTGAGGTGACTTGGCGGTGAGGGTCCCAAAAGCCAACGCTAAATGCAGATAACATGTTTTTTACAAGTTATGCACATTTACAGGCCCTGACAGAAATTTAAGAGAAACCCTATATGGAGAAGTCATTAACAGATTTAAATTTAGGAAATACAGGAAATATGGGAAAACTTAAAATTTAAGGCTCACATTTAATGTCTCTCTACTTAAAGCAAATCAGCAAATGGGGCAAGGCTGTGAAGTTCATTAATACCATAAGAAATGAACATGAGACCTACCTGATTCCTGCAGCTTCTCCTTGAATGTACCAGTTTTGTTAGAGGAAAGTTCTGTTGCTTTTTCTGTCTTTCAGAACTGCTAGAGCCAGTTCAGGTCCTCCCAGCTTCTGGATAAATTGGGTTCCAACCTCTACATTTGAACAGATACACGGAAGGTTTTACACCACTTTCTCACCACCAGATATAATTCAGAGCATAATTATAAATTTGGGTCATAAGTTTGTCCTGAGTAGTTATGAAAGGTAACAATACATGGTAAGTAAAATATCTCATCGATGAAGAGAACATAATTTTCAGGGTCAGTTTTAGAAAGCCATATGTTTTTATCTATACACTCAACACAGAAACAAGCATAGAGCTTGGCATTTGAAAGGTCAGATTTCTAACTGAAGCCATTGTTCAAACATCTTCCTCTGCAGTGTGAAGCAGAAACAGCCTAGGTGAAGCAATCTAAGTCTTCCCCGCTCCCTGTCTGGCTCTCTTGTGCACAAGGAAGCTCGATTCTAGAGCAGTCTTAGGGCTAGTCTACCAATAGGTGTTTGTTTCTCTTCCCCAGGCACCAGTATGCCCAGGGGATGAAACCTGTGCAGGATGACTTCCTGACCACAGCAGATGGGCATGGCCTCTGCAGCCACCAGCCGGGACACGGGGTGCTGCTTCAGGGCTGGGCACCTGGAGCACCAGCCAAGCACGCAGATGGGGAGGGGTGGAGAGTGGTGACACCAGCTCATCAGCAGGCCCAAGGGTTGTCAAGACCCTGTGGGCACAAAGGCAAAGGAGAGTGGAAAGGAGTTAGCTGAGGGATGATACAACTGCTTTGCAGGGCACAGCCCCAATGGGAGCTGTAATCACAGAGGAAACAGAGTGTCTGTCTGAAACACTATTTCTACTTTTTTTGGGTAAATATAGGAACTATGACTTCATGTCTCACACTTCCAGAGACGTACTCTCAGGGTTGTTTTCTTCCTTATCAGGGCTCTAAGAAATCCAAAACGTGTCTCTTTATTTCAGTTCTGGCTGGAGGTTAATCTCTAGAAACAAGTAATGTAACATTTCCATCTATCTTTTCCACTCTTTTGGCAGTTTTAATTATACTAATATGCTACGACAATTTAAACAAGACACATCTCAGCTTCTGGCCTGCTCTGTAATGGTTCAGCTGCTACATGTGCTCCAGCATATTTTGCTCAGACAGGCTGCTGCTGGAGGCAAGGGGAAGGCAGAATAGTGCCCTTCTGTCATGAGAGGTTTCATAGCACTGATCATTGTATGTTTGACAGATTCTTTGTCAATGTCAAGTGTCTTTTGTGGTTAAGCCCAGTAAAGCTAAAACAAAAGGTCTCCTAGATATTAGATATATAGTGACATTACTGAATTCACTTGGAGGCAGTAATTTTTTGTCAGCCTATGAAAAGAAAAATGGAGCTAATGGGAAAACAAAAGGAAGATGCTGGCATGCCTTTTTAGCTATTTTTGTTTATGTCAGACATTGTGATTGACATCTGGCCCAGAACACCCCTTCAACCATTGAGCCTGGTGTCATGAAACAGAACAAAGAAAAATTGCCAGCCAAGAAAACACTACTGGCTCAGAAAGCACTGCTTTTTGTTTATTTTCTTTTAAGTGTTTCATTTTCAGTAATCAGTATTGTTACACAAAAGTAGTTCACTCACATGCACCCTCCACTTACTAATTGGACTTCTAAGTTTCCTTGTGTTTGCTTTCTTCCTGCTTGCTTGAATGGCACCAGAGTGCTGGTTTGGTTGGATGACAGTCTGTCATAACAGTGATGTTTGAGGTTAGTGAAAACTGACGTGAAAAATACAATCCACTGGCCTTTAACTGAAATAGCAGCTCTGGTTTTTGTGGAGTTGGCAGGCAGCATTTTTAAACCCCTTTCATGGTGAAGGCAGTTACAACATGTTTCTCTCTGTATCAAGCAGTTCCATCATGAAGTACATTATCTACGTCTGTTGTCATATCAGGATATTGCCTCTGAAGAGCAGTTTGCTGTTTCTTATGTGGGCACTGCTCTTTTGAAGTGTCCTGAAAGTGTTAAGGGAATTTCGTGGTCAGTCTCCAGGACCAAGCCAAATACAAAGCTTTAAAATTTACTGAAGAGTGATTTTAGGGAAATACCAGACCAGAATAGGTCCTGCAGACACCCAACACTAAGAAGTCTTTGTCACTACCATTCTGCAAGTGCTGTAAAATTTCAGAGACTTGGTCAAAATTATGTATCAGCAGGACAAAATTATTCCTTAAAATTCTAACTTCTACCTTCATCCTGAAAGTACAATGCTTAATATAATAACAAAATAAGACTTTTCAAAAGAAGAGAGTAAGAAAGACAGTCCATCAGCCACTTCCCTTCATACATTTATATGCTGAAATCATGTCAGAATGTTTGTCCTAACAAAAAAAGCCTTAATCACTTAAAAAAATCTATGAAAGTTGGCTGTTGAATGCATCACATGTGCCAGAGTTAAACATGTTTGCACTGTTTTAACAGGGTACCTTTCAGTATAGAACACTGGGGTGAATTCTCCTGTAGAAGCAGACACTTAACTCCCCTCAGCATTAATAGCAGATGTGTTCACACATAGAGTGGAGAATTTCTTTCTCTTTCTTTGCATAGTGCTCTAAAAAGAACTTTGAAGAAACTGAGAAAAACAGAGAGCGCAGTATATTAATTTTAAGGAGATGAAAGCAGTACATGTCATTCCTAAATTTCATGGAAAATGCACAGTTAGTAACAAAGATGAGTAGAAAATTTCAAAATCATTCTGAGCAGCATTAAAATCAGTCTTCCCTGATTTTCTGTTTTCCCCTTCTTTTCAAAGCACATACATTAAACTCATTTTATGCTTATAATATATATAATGATTCTAGACAACATAAGAAGGACACTGGGATTCTTCCTATTTCAACTTATAAAGTGGCAAGCCAATTTATGCAGCTTAAACCATTGCTAAAGAAGATGTATCAAAAATTGCCTGTGATCATTACAAATAACAGCCTGAAATGTTCACAAGAAGCTGTTTGCTTATCATATTTTCATTAAAACATCTTTTCACCTGCTTTGCTTTTCCCATGCCTGTAACCTGCATTGTAATCAGTCTTATTAACTGAGAACATAAATATGATTTATTATGGTCTGATAATGGAAGCTGCATGGACCAAGAGAAGGGATATATTGTCCTTTGATAAAATGGCTCTTTTCTCTCAAATAGAGCTCTATCATGAGAGCACGCAGAATGTAGTGAGTGATTATTTCCTGAGGGTGAATGATGGCAGAACCCTACAGAAAATCTTCTTGTTGGCCATGACAGCCTCTGAGTGTCCCCAAATCTCACTGAGTTTGACAACCTGCAGACACTTTTGATGAACTGTATTCTTCTGTCAGAGACAGCCTGTCTGGGAGGAGAAAAGGGAACCTTTATCGTCTGATCTGCTATTATTGTCTTGATCTTTTATAAGCAATCTCTAATGCACATGAATATAATATCCTTTCAAAGAAGTGCCAAACATAATAGAAATGTAGTTAAAGGACCCTTTTCCCAGTTATGTAAATGTCCTAATACCATAATTAGAAAAGATGGTTTGTGAATGATAGCGGTAAGGAAAGGGTAATCAAAATATTTTAACATTAGCTTTCTGTTTTAAAGACCAAAATCTGTGATAAATAGCATTTATGGTAGATATGGGGAACCAGCTTGTGCTGAAGCTTTTACCTAAAAAGAGAATAGTTTTGAGTGTAAAACTGGTGTTATATTTTCATAAAACACGTAAATGGCAGCTGGTCTTAAGCCAGAAATGATTACTGGCAGATATGACTTAAAGAAAATGAGTATTCCACTCAAAATCCCTCCATAGCTGTTACAGAAAGAACAAAGCGTTATTATTAAGTAGTGTATTTGGACAAAGGGGTGTTCAAGACCAACTAAGTTCGCCAGCAAATCTCTCTTTTATCTACGTCCAGAAGAACAAGCATAACAAAATCTTTTTCAATTAACAGCTGTACACATTAGCAAAACACCCGTCTTTCTCAGCTCAAGCAATCTGGCTTATTTATCACAAAAAATGAAATGTTTGGGGGGAAGGTTTCCAAGTTCCCCAGTAAAAGCAAGATACTTGATTTTTCATTAACCTTTTGACATCTGGAGCTGGGATGTCCCAGTATTAACTACTAATGGTCTTTTGCATTACCAGTTGGTGTTGAGAGAAGTCCCAATTGTCAGAGTCAAAAGGTTAATCAGCAATTTCACACCAGTGATGTGGTCAGAGTTCACATGTTACTGCCTAAACAGGAGGAAGAAGAAAATAAAAGTCATTAGCAGAAAACTACATCCTAACATTACTAAATCCCTCTTCGTTTTTTGTTTGTTTGTTTTCCAGAAAATATTTAATGATCTATTTACTAAATATCCTGACTTTTTAGAGGACTTTGTAAACCTTTGTTGACAAGTATAGGTCGAAATATGTGACTAACTTGTTTGGTTTATTCTACTTTTCATAGGAAAAAACGTAAAATTTTACTTACCCACCAAGTGTTCAGTCCAGGCCAGTGTGAGGGAAAAAGTCTTCTCTGTTTGTTACCCATGGAGATTTTAAAAAACTATCCAAATGCGCCTAATTCAGTGTGAGAGTTGTGTCCTGTCTGCTGGAAGTGAAGATACCTGAATGTCCCTTCATTCAGAATGAGTTTCATAGTGAAAACATACTTTATCAGAGATAAAGGATATCCAACAGCAAAAACCTGAGTGTAGACTTTTCCCTCTCACCCCTCTTTTTGTCTTGATTGTAGAAAATAAGTCAACAGCACCATTCCCTTAACAAATATGGACAGCAACCTTATTTCATGTGAAAGTACCCTCATAAACAGCCATGCCAGTACCTCAGCTGGTACCATTTGACCAAAAATAGCCATAGCATACTTTAACTTGGGGCCCAAGAGATCTCCTATCCATAGCAAAAACAGATTTATTTTCTAAAACAAAGTATAAAATATTGCTGACAACATTACAGTTTGGCATTTGCTAACAGTAACAATGTTCACACAAAATCACTTCCCTGGTAATATCTGAAATGGTTAACCATTGTTTGTCTTTTGTTTAGCCCTGATCAAAAACCTTCTGATGTTACCATATTGATCAGGCCAGTTCTATGCTTTTGAGACATTCTATCTTTTTCCTATTTCCAAGACAAACAAGTAGTGAATCTTGCCCAAAACAACAACCTTCATCCTGGATATTTTCTGCATCAGATAGTTCCTCTCATCTCTTTCTCCAGTTTCAGCAAAATCTATGGCTAAAATCTTTCCTATCTTGATTGCCTCAGTTTAAATGGGGACAGGATTTTACCCTGAAATGTTCTGAAAAAAATACCAATCTTTCCAAGTGCCCTATTACTTAGTCCACCAATTAGCTGACTATAGAGCCTGAGTGTCCTTGTACATCATCCCAGTCCCCATCTGTATACTTGGCTGCATATGTTTATGCAATTAGAAATGGTGAAAATCTAATAAAATTAGGACAAACCTGAGTGAGCTGTAATTCTGTTTAATCTCTCAAACTCAATTGTTGAAAGCTTGCTGAATTCCCCAAACCTCTCTCAGGTGCCAATGAGTGAGTCAATATCATACCAAAGATCTCACAGCATAGCAGACATAAATTGTACTTCCAGAATCCCATACACACCCTCAAATAATGAATCTAATGTCTCCAAAGTACTGTCAGCGAAAAAAAGTTTCCTGCAGTTACGAGCATCGTACTTGGTGGCCCAGAGTGTAAAAAAAGAACACAGGGCAGATTTGCACAGGGAAGGAGTGGTCACTTTAAAGGCCCCTGCCTTCCTATGCTGTATATGTATATATGCACTGGAGCAATCCAAGTCTCCTGCCTTCAAGGGAGGACCACTGACATTAGCACACTTGGCTTTGCTAGATCCTCTTGGCAAGCCTTGAGAAACTCAATACAAAAGGAGAATGAAGTTTTCTTTCACCTCAATGTGATGCCTTTCCTGACTTTGCTTTTAGAAGCCTGGTTTGCACTTATTTTTGTAGTGCAATGGTAACTGGTGGTTTGCGTAGAAATAATTACCAGTCTGAAATAGTCCCAGACCACTTCATACCTGTGTCCTCTCATCACACATCATTCAAGAGAAGTTAGGCAAGGAAATGAAGAATGATTTTGGCTGAAATTAGGAGGAATTGTCCTTGAAATGGAGAACAGAATTATTTAGAGTTGAAGCACAGTGGATCAATTAATAACTCTGTTCTTGGAAGAAAGAGCCTGGGATCTTTTATCTCAAGTTGTGAGGGCTTTGGGTTTGTATCTAAGCCAAACCATGTATTTGTTGCAGGATGGGGCTCTCCAGAATGAGGAAGATAATGTAAGGGTTTTGGCATTGGGTCCATAGGTCAGAAGAAAATGTTGTCTGCAGATCAACCAGTTCCTTTTCTTTTTTTCCCCCTTTGTATTCATTTTCCTCGTAGACTTCATCTCCAAATACGTGCCTTGTTTACTCTTTGAGATCTTAGAGAATTTCAGCAAGGAGGTGACCAGGCCAGAAATAGGTTTCCCATAAACACACAACTGAGGTTCTGCTCCCACTCATACACTTTGAGATGCTGAGTTCATAGAAAATAGAGCTGGAGGGGATCATCCAATACCTGACAGCATTCCCCTGATTTTTGATTTCTCTGTCATAGAATTACTTCAGTGATAGCTACTTTATCACCACTCAGTCAATTATCCCAACAGATAATTGTCCTTTTCTAAGTGACAAATACAGTCTAGCCATGAGAGAGACCGATTGCTTTCTTAGACATTATATGTTTTGCTCAAATACAACTTAAATGTATTTATGCTTTTCATCTTGTTTCTTCTCTGTTTATTTCTGTCTCTGTTATGAGTCATTCACTATTTTTTTTTTACTTCACCTTTCTCCTACAACCTTACCTACCTACCTTCTACATTAAGTCACTCCCTTTCTTTTTTGTATTCTGAACCATGTGCTCATTGGTACCCTTGTATTTCTTTTCTTCTGTGTGTCTTTCCAAACATGTGAAAAATAAACTTTCATGTGCCATCAGCCTCACTACAGGGACTTACCTCTTATCATTTCCCGGGGGGAGCTAAAATGCCACATTTTCATTCATTGCATCAGAACTACTTTTCGTAAACAATGAGAAATTAAACAGACGCATTCAAATTCAGGTCTAAAGGTGATGTTCTTGAGGTGTGACTGAAGAGCACAGCTAGCTATGGGAAGCACACGATATGCTCTGAACATGCATATGCAGGGGTAGGCTTTATGTAGCCTCTAAAAAGGGAAAGCAGAACTCCTGGCAGTCATGGAAAACAGATGCCTGCTTCCTGCTGACTGTCAGGGTGTTTCATGTACAAAGTGAGTTAGAACACAGGTCTGGACCTGCAGGTTCCAGAACACCAGATTAAGTGACTTTGTCTCAAATTTATGCCAGGGAGAGTACCATCCAAAAGAGTTAAGGTGGAGCATCACCACAGGCAGAAAATTGTTTTACTTTTGTCCCCTCAAGCCAGGCCACTGCAATATTGTAATGTACGTGTACATAAGTACAGTACTGACCCTGGGGCACTGAAGGCTGCTTGGTCTAACAGGTGCTTGGGGATCTCAAGATAATCTCCAAACTTCAGTGCAGCTCAAGCTGCAGTCTTTCTTAAAAAACAATTGTTTCAACTTATTCTTATAATTTTTAACAGAAAATTATCAGAGGTGACTACCCCTGCTATGGCAGGAAGCAGTATGATAAATATAGAGGAGGACTAAGGAAAGCTTATTCCACACTTAACAGCAGAAAACAAGTTTGTTTTCCAGCACATCTGTTTCATAGCGCATCGTTGCTGCAATATAATTTTTTTGAGCTGCAATATTTTCCTATCTGTGTTGACCACGGTCTATGCCTGAAAGTGCTGAGTGCTGTGGTTGGAGCAAGACTATTGTGGTCATCTGATACAGGAGCAGTTTGTGTTAGCACTGAGGATCCACAGCAAAGAGGAGCTCAGACTGTGCCTCCCCATGGAAAGTCCGAACATAAAGCAGGGAAACTGAATTTGGTCTTGGGAGACAGAGGTTCTTTGTCCCCTGCATGATCTCAGACAACATATTTCCTCTCTCCAAGCCTCATTTTTTCCTCAAAATGGGGACCGATAGCTTCCTGTCTTCTCTCTCTGAGCTTGTCACTCTTTTGGATAGTGGCTGTTCCTGATTATGGGTGGGTCTGATGGCTGTGAGTCTGACCTCCAGAAGCCCTCTGGACACTTCTATATTATATTTGATAATGAAGTGTCCTGTCTTAAACAATCAAGACAAAAAAAGTAAGTCAGACCAGAGGAAACTGGCTCAGGACAAAATGGCAGCCTCAATGCAGTGAAGTCAGAGCCATTAGCTATTGACTACTATAGCAATACTGAAACTGCATCAGTGATTTCTTTTTTTAATTGCTATTTAGGGATTTAAATGAGATTTTTAAAAAAAGAAAGACAGAATGTTTAGTCTACAATCACTCTTTGCTGCCAATACAGGCTATCATATAAATTACTTAGACACTTTTAAAAATACATTATTTACTCAATAACCCATAATGGGTCCAGAGCTCCTTTTACACGCTATTATAGAAGCTGAATTTTCAAATGGATATTTCTTCTAGGCAATAGTCTGTAATGGCTCCTTCAAAGCTCTTAGGCTTTTATCATATGAAGGCCTAAGTAGAAAATGTTTAGTTCACCGATCATTGACCTAATGGAAAGCAACAGCTTTTCTGGAACAACTATTGTCTGTTAGGGCACATGATGTATGAATGACATTTAAAAAAATTCTTGGAAGTATGTGCTAGTGAAGAATTACTGTTCATGTGCAAAGCAAATACTGTTGATGAGATCCTCAGAGTTCTTTTGTTTGGTTCTGCTTGGTTTAGTTTTTTAGCTTCTGTGCAAGCCCAAGAGCAAAAGAAAACAGTTGGGTTTGTGTATGAAATGCGAACTCAGTCTAGGACTCATTCGGATCAATGAGAGACTTTTCAATTTTCTCAGAGGTCATTCAGCTCAATTAAAAGTTGTCTCAAATGAAAACACAATGTAAGAAGTTGAATTCTGAAATCAGAGAAGTAAGGGAATGCTGAAATGGGACAAATCACGTTTCTTATAGTCAGAATACAGAAAAACCTGCAGGCCTATCCTGAACTTGATCTAGAAAGGAAATAGGCAACTTGACACTTTTTCAGCCCTATTGCTATGAATCTCACAATTACTGAACTGCTGTTCTCTACTTATATTTGGCTTTGAAGTCTGCTGTTTCCATTTCAGACACAAAGAAAGGTTCAGGTTCCTAAAAGCTTGGTGTAAGAAAACACATTTTCTGTCCCTACACTCTTTGGGCAGTAAAGTCTTTGGCAGTACTGCCAAATAAATATCAACTAGGTCTAAGTGCAGGACTAGTGAGGCTGAATGTGAGCTGGGGGCAGTCAGGCAGAGACCCTCAGAGAGGCTGAAGGACACCTCCAGCTCTGAGCCTGATGGACCAAGGGAGAGGTCCTTGCTGTGTGGCACAACTCCCTCACAGACTTGGGACCAACAGGACATGCAGCTCAGCAAAGGAGACTACTGAATAGCCAGGTCA